AGAATCAGAAGGTAAATATAATAAGACTGTATTAAAACAAAAGCAGATATGCAGAAAAAGTTCAATAGCCCTCAGTTTTATGTTTCAAGAGGAAGAACATTTATGAGATTATATTCAAAAGATTAATTTATTAAAAGGGCAGAAAAGCAAGAGAATACATCACCAAGACAAAGATAATGACAATGATCAAAACGGAAGAAATTCATAGCTTTTAAAAGGAATTTTGTACAAGAAATACAAAATTTAAAACCGCCAGGAACAGCTGAATAACTAGAATATGCAGCTTGTATAAGCGTTTATTGTATGCATAATCCTTATTATGTGTTATCGAACAAGAATAATAAGGAAACAGAAGAGAAGAAAGAAATACAATTGAAAGGGAAGTACGCTTTGTTTTATGAGAAAATAAGAATCAAGAGAAAATGAAGACGAAATGGAAATTAACGGACCCCCCCCCCCCGAAAATCTGTAATTTCACTTTGTAATGTTAGACTAAAAAACAAAGTTTAAGACGAAAAAAAAGAGAGAGAGAGAGAGAGAGAGAGACGGAGACAGAGAGAGAGATAGTAAGAAAACATGATCGAGCAAAGTGCCCAGCACAGTATTGCATTAATCAATGGGCGTCAACGTACCTAGTTAACAAACAAAAAGCGTTTATGTGTGTGTATTTGGTAGGGTGGGGGCCGTCGTAGTCGAGTTAGTCGTAGTAATAATAATAATAATAATACTTATACTCAGTTTTTATTAAGCGCTTGGGGGGGGGGGGGTGGGTGGGCTGGGCTAACTTGTGTGGATTATGTTGAGCAGAGTCATCATTGTCACCATAATTGTAAGCTTTTCTTAGTAGTATTGCATGTACTTTCTTTTTTTCGATATTGAAATGATTTATTAACCTTTTTTTTTAAGGTATAATTATTTATTTTATTTACCTTTCGTTAATGATATGTATGTACCTAGTTTGTACATTATTTTCCATTATGTGATAAATACAGAAATCAAACATGCAAACTTATGATATGTCTTTGATCATTTCGTCATCAAATCTATTACAGTAATATATTTTTAAAAAAACGAAAGGATAAATGAATTCATAACTTATTATGATTCGCATCCCTTCTCATCTTAAAATCAATTCAAATGTCAACATTTCATCTCAGCATGTTTTTAAGAGTGATGGATGGATCATAAATAAGTTTTAATCCTTCAGAGAGGGTAACAAGGCAAACATTTCTTCTTAAGAGTTGGGAACTTGTCGTATTCTAGGTTTATTCTGTTTTCTGCTCCCTTGCCACCATCTTTTTCTTCAGAATTGACCCCCCCCCCCCCTCCCATAACACCAAATGGATCCTACCCTTAACCAATCCAACACTTACACAAAATTAAAACATACATCAACATTCCAATATCATTTGTGCTTTCCCTGAACAATGATTTAACATTTTGGCTGAACTATTTTCATCTTCCAATCCAGAAGCTTATAATTTAATGCACTAAGAAAAGAAGAGGAAAGGAATGAGCTTTATCTGTTTCTGGTCCGAAGACTTAAACCGGAGTTCCACTCAAAAAGAAAGAAAAGCAATGAAAAGTAATACAACAAGAGGAATGGAATGAGCTTTATCTGTTTCTGGTCCGAAGACTTAAACCGGAGTTCCACTCAAAAAGAAAGAAAAGCAATGAAAAGTAATTAAAAAAGATGAAAGGAATGAGCTTTATCCGTTTCTGGTCCGAAGACTTAAACCGGAGTTCCACTCAAAGGAAAAGAAAAGCAATGAAAAGTAATTAAAAAAAAAGAGGAAAGGAATGAGTTTTATCCGTTTCTGGTCCGAAGACTTAAACCGGAGTTTCACTCAAAAGGAAAAGAAAAGCAATGAAAAGTAATTTTTAAAAAGAGGAAAGGAATGAGCTTTATCTGTTTCTGGTCCGAAGACTTAAACCGGAGTTCTACTCAAAAGGAAAAGAAAAGCAATGAAAAGTAATTTAAAAAAAAAGAGGAAAGGAATGAGCTTTATCTGTTTCTGGTCCGAAGACTTAAACCGGAGTTCCACTCAAAAGGAAAAGAAAAGCAATGAAAAGTAATTAAAAAAAGAGGAAAGGAATGAGCTTTATCTGTTTCTGGTCCGAAGACTTAAACCGGAGTTCCACTCAAAAGGAAAAGAAAAGCAATGAAAAGTAATTTTTAAAAAGAGGAAAGGAATGAGCTTTATCTGTTTCTGGTCCGAAGACTTAAACCGGAGTTCCACTCAAAAGGAAAAGAAAAGCAATGAAATGTATTGAAAAAATAGAGGAAAGAAATGAGTTCCATAAACATGTGTAAATACAAAATTGCAAAGAGTTAAAAATTACTAACTCTGACTCGCTACCGCTCTATCACCACACACGCAATTCCGAGAATCTCAGAGAATACAGTAAACAATATAAATATTAGTATTAGTTTTTAACACACTTTATTTTTTGTGTCGAGGAAAAAAAACTTTACTTTTGGAAAAGAAGATCAAATGCAATGCAACAAGCAGAAAGCGTTAAGTCAACGTTATATGGTAAAAATGCATAGATATAAGAAATCGTAACGTGTCAAGCACATCTGTTTATCGCTTCACCGTATGCTCCAAAACTTCCCCCAAAACATGCGATTTACTAATGACTGCATCAATATACAAACCCAAATATATGTACATAAAATATACATGATTTTTTAAACTTAGTTTTTAGAAATATAATATATATAGGAAATAACAAGTTTTCCTTACTTTCCATAACAAAACAGAAATATACATGTTCCATATAAAGCCCGTCTGCACTAGTGTGGCCAGGGGGATTAATACTTCCCTGCAAGGTCACTGACCGGTAGTTATCTTATCAAATTAGCTCTCAATTAACCTAAGAAAAAGGGGATCATGTGGGACCAACAGACGCCGATTAAGCATTGTTTGCTATATAAAGGGCGCAAGTAGCTATAAGTAGTGCAGTGGGGCTTTAAATGGAGTTTTCCTGATAAATACAACAAAAAAAGAAAACAATGCAAGTTGCCTTTGACTGAGCACTGGCCTTGTCTATTCCATTCACTCCCCCCCCCCCCCCCCCGTTTTAACATATTTATTAATTCGATTAGTAGAATACGGGCCATTGTATTGAAATATATCACTTGGTACATGTATTTGACTTTTCATTTTTCTAAGTCTTCAATTGTAGGCCTCCATAATACTGTAAACATAATATTGGAAATAATGATCAGAAGTAAAAGAAAAATAAAGAAGAGTAATATGAATATAAGCTTAAAGTGCTATGTACAAGTTTATACCTTTACAAATTCCACCGCAGTACAACAGCATAACGAATACATTTCATCCACACTTACAGGTAACACGTCCCTTATATTTTGTGAGAAATAAAGATCATCGAAAGTTTGAGCAAAATTTCATTACCAATAGAAATTTATGAAATTTGAAATTTATAATCAATCAAACACATATTGGAACGCTGTTGGTCTTCCTTGCGAGACCCTCTCCCAATTGCTCAGTGCTAAAAAAGAAAAGGAAATCTGTTAATCTTTTTTTTTGTAAAGAAAACAACCCATGTAATGTAAGAAACAAACAATCCTTCCCTAGCAACAAGAATTTCTCTTTGTGTCAAATGGGAATCAAATGTTTGATTGATTACCACATCTTATTTTTTCAAATACTGTTTTACTTCTGTTATGGGATATTGCGTAAACATTAGCAGTGATCTAGTCTCTCATTTTCTTCTTTGATTAAACCAACTGATTATAAATGTGGTACTTCATTTAACTGTTGATTATTCCGTTTCGTATCCATTATTTTTTGGAACCTGGATTTTGCTTAAACCTTAAATGATCTATTTCTCCTATTTTTCTGCTTTTATCAAAAAACTTAAATATATACGGTAGGAAGTGTGAGATGTAACAGACCTTGCATGAATATAAACTATAAAGTTTCTAAGCGACAATTTCTTTAAATGCTTTACAATGTCATTGTAATTTTCTTTTTTCTATAAACAAGATTTAATATCTACATAATTATACACATACTCAAATATACACAAAAATGAGGTAACGGTTGCCTTAACATCCGTAACTTTCTTCCAAAGTGTCTTGGGTCCTGATCCCTCGGTCCTTCCTTGTTCGCCAATGCACAAAATATTTGCCATGATGTTTTAATGAAATACTGATGATGCAAACCTTCTTGATCCAGACCAGATTATTACATTAGAACATGTCTACAAAAGATCATATAATAACTGCCTGACAAAGTGTAGTGTATGCACAAGTATAAGTCTCATCAAACATTTACCATTTTAAAGAATAGGGAATTTGTTTCAAAAGTAGTGTTCTTAAAAAACTTTGACTTATCAAATGCAGGCGGTTACTATAGAAACCACTAGGAAAATACTACTCTTGGCGACAATAACATACATGCCCCTCTTTCTACATCTAGTCTTCCACGTATTGCTTTGAAACAGGTTGTTTGACTGGGTTGTGTCCACTGAACGTCGTTATAACATGATTTGGTTTGCGCAATACCGTGTGAGTCCAAAAAAGTTTACACCTAGGAAATTGTTAATTATTTAAAAAATCATCTATGAACAGTAAATTATTATACAGCTCATAAAAGAGTGTTTTATCCCAAATCAGTTGGTATCATTTTTGTGTGGTATGTGTTTACGCTTGGATGAACAGGAGGCATTGTTTGCGAGAGTACAAAAATCGACTTGCGCCAAAGTGATGCCTACAGTATGTATTATGTTGGGATTAGCGGAGTGAGAGAATAAATTGAATGTATCAAATGAAATGTATTGCATATGCTGTTTGCAGAAGCAAGGTCGCACACACACACGCACGCGCACAAATGTACGTTGATATTTTATATTCGATATTTGATATGTGTGGCATGATTAATTTTGTAAGGGATGTTATTTAGATCTGCAAAGACCGAATTAATACCCAAATCCCAATTTTTGTATTCCTTTATTCAAACATCACATAAACAATTTTGGCGCAAGTCGATTTTCGCACTATCGCAAACAATGCCTCCTGTTCATCCAAGCGAGAACGCATACCACACAAAATGATACTAAATGATTGAGGATAAAAGACTCTTTCATAAGGTGTATAATAAATTACTGTGCATAGATTAATTTTTAAATAATGAGCAATTTTCTAGGTGTAATTTTTTTTTGGACTCACAGTGTATGTTCTTCGTTAGGACATTTTCATATTCCTGTATTTTCATCAGAACTATCATCTGAACTTTCATTCTCGCTGGATTCACTCATCTGAAGCTGATTATCTGGGCCTAGTGTTCTGCTGAATTTAATGACAGCATCAGCTAGTAAATCTTCTATCTCTTTTATTCCTCTGTTCTTCACGGCCATGATTCCTTTCAGTTCTTGCTTGCTTGCCATAGGGGGGACATACCTGTCAGTATACTACAGCAAAGATAAGATCGAAAAGTACAAAATGCGAAGTACATTTCACTGTTAAGAAAAAATGAAGCACTTGAATGTACTACGTAACATTTAACAAAGTCATAAGCGGAGTTTTGTGGTGTAACGGTGAAGGGAGAAGAAGAGAATTTCTTGAAAATGATATATAGTGCAGCTGCTACATTATACTTGACTGCCCTGTAGCTGCTTATACGGAGACACAACAAAATCTATTCAAAGGCTTCTGAAGATATATTTTGTAGAGTAATTGAGATGCTAAGTGTTGTGTTGCACTTTTTCCCATTATTGGCTATATTTCTTTTTGCTTTTGTTATTCATTTCAAGGGGGATAACTTCTAATTTTAGAACTGTGGCAAACACTTCACACTTTATTCTTGGGATGGCTACTGTAAATCCATTTGTAGCCTTTTAATATATTGACTATTACTTACTGAGGCCTTATTTCTTTAAAGAATAAACACGTGAAATGTTTGTGATTTTTAAATGTTAAGGGAGGTTCTTTTACAGCTCTCATAGCGCACCACCTCGTAAGCCAATGCCTTTCATACGTACACCTTAATTGTCAAACTGGTGTAGATTAGATATGTACACTCCATAATATTTGCTTCAATCATGTATACAACGGTAACCTAACAATTTATATAATTACAAGAGTCTAACACATTATTTATCATGTTTTGGTTGATGAAAGCCATTGCCTGGTAAAACATCAGATTAATAACATGAACAGACTGATGTGTGTACCTTTTTTTTAATTTTTTTAAAAATCTTTATGAAGAGAATCAACATGTGCGGTGTGTCCAGGGTAGTAAGGTAATCGAAGTATGATGTAAAAATGAAACATGTTTTATCCTTCTATCATAAATTAGTGTTGGGAAAATGAAAAAAAAAACGCCTGGACATACCACACAATCAGCACAGCCAATCCCAGTGTCTGCAGTTTCCACAAGCCGTTGATTTTGTTCTTTTAAAGAAGCTAGCTGTTTCTTCAAGTACAGAAGCATGCTCCTCATCTCCTGTCTGAGAAGCACGTGTTCTTCTCTGTATCGCTGCACCAGTACAAAGAGGTCCACCATTTTCTTCTTCATATCCCATGGCAGAGAAGATGAGCTAGACCCTAGAAAATGTATATAATTTACGTTAATGAGTGGAAATCATGGCTGATAATGGATGTGCCAAAGTAGTGACGAAATGGAGTATATTCTTGACCTTGTTTTCGTGATAGCTGACACTGTTGAAACACAATAATAAATAAATTCAACCTTGGTGTAATTAATTGCCTTTAATAATAATAATAACAATACTTAGTTTTTATATATCGCTTAATACAATGTCTCTTTGAAAGCGCTTTACAAATATACTATTACCCCGGTCATTGGATTCAGTGCTTGCCCGCACACACTGTGTGCACAATCTCCACTCCCTGGGGAGCATTCCAGCCAGGCGTTACCTGACGCTCAAAAACTGTTTGACCAACAATGACGGTCGCATCCTACCGGGTACCCATTTAACACCTGGATGGAGAGTACCAAGTGCAGATTAATATCTTGCCAAAGGATATTAGTGCCGTGTCGGGATTCGAACCCTCGACCTTCGCATCTCGAGTCAAGCACCTTAAACCACTCGACTACGACACTCCTACATATTTGTTTTAATTTTTCATTTCCCGCAGATGGCAGAAATGGCTATTAAAAATATACGCACGATAAAGTAAAAAATATTTGATACAAATAATTACATATTTATTTCATATAACAATATTTAATACAAATAAGGACAAAATTCATTCTGAGGCAAGTCTAACATGATCTTCGTGAAGAATGTATAGTTGGAAAAATGGAAGCGAAATCATTGAACTAAAACAAAAATCTTTTCTCCATGCACTTTGACCTTGCAATCTTATTTAAGCGTTTATATTAATTATTGTTTTGATACTAAACCATCAAATACATTGAGGGTATTTCATACAATAATATCAATACTTTAAAACAAAAATACATCTAACGAAACGGGGGTGAATGTAAAAAAACACATCAATAAGCCTACCAGATTGATGCCATGGGAAATGTCCTTCAATAGCATCTACCACTGTCAACCGCTGCTCCTCTCCTGACAGCGTTGCAACTTTGTCAAGCTTTTCTTGCAGTTTTTCTTTCTCTAGTTCATTCTTTCTGCGTAACTTGGTTCGCTGCTTGGAACTGTCTACAATGAATGAACAACAAATGGAACCAATGACTGTGCTTTATATTCTGAATTGACACCTTTCTTACTTTACATTAAGATAAAAAGTCAAATAAAGCTCTTTGTATCAGCAAATTTAATTAGTAATTTAGGAAAACTAACCCGCGTACTGCTAGCATAAAGTTCTATGGTAACTTCTATCCTATCTCTGCATTAGAACAAAAATGGCTCTTTTATGACCCCGACCCCGACCCCGACCCCGCCGTTACCAGAAACATTTACGAGAATGTTAAAGAGGGATTGGAAGTCGTTCAGTGGGCACTAGTTGTTAATAGCCTTTAAGGTTACTGTACAGTGTAATATATCCAAATAATATGAGGTGTTCTCATAGACGACCTTCATTTTCCCACCGCATTATTTATAACTCCATGAATCAATGTTGGCACAATGAAGATGGGCTCATTTTTATAAAAAATAACTAAACGGTAAAATAATGTACAATGAAATGTAGTACTCCAAAGTGTAATAACAGAAAATCGTTTTCATAAAGTATAAAGCATACACTGAGTTTTTAAAGAAGGCATAATTTCTAGATGAACGATCTTGTATATAAAAATGTGTCTGGTGATGGGTTACCTGCAAGATTACTAACGGCCAACTTTCTCTGTTTAATTGAAAGAGCAATCAGCTCTACTTCTTGCTGCAGGAGAGAAATCTGACTCTCGATAGCAGCTTTCCTCCCCATCTGGAGAAGCGCATCTGGGCCAACGTTGAGACAGCGACAGAGTGTTTCCTCTAAGTTGGTAGAGTCATGAATCCTCGAAGCCTCGGCTTTCTTAGAGGCTTCCATGAAGAAGGAAGATGAGTCAAGGAGGAGACTTGTCTCTTTGCTTGAGGTTGACACATACTGCTCAAGATTCTTTGCTTCTTGTTCCAAAGTCCGTATCTTGAAGTATTTTTCTAGGTCAGTAATGTCAACCTCTGCTCGGCTTGATCCTATGGACAAAAATGAGGCACACTGATACATTGACTATAATGATCAACCACATCACACACCTGCACAAATTAAAACGATAATAATATAATAATAAATCAATGGGTTTCGGCCGGGGTTTAGGCAAATGCTGTTTGAGTTCTGAAGGAAGTTGAAAGAAATTCCCTTTGTCTCGTTTGAAGTAAGAACTAGACACAGAATACGACGCTTTAAAGTTTAATATATTTTCATATTATCAGGGTGACATGAGGAAGTAATGTTACCTCACTGACTCACCTTAACATTTAAAAGAGAAACCCCCTACATCGAGTAGTAAACTTCGTAAGCATTGTTCTATTCACACATATTCCTATGCTATATGAAACAGTGCTAATTCATTTAAAGTGTAGTTTAATATACCCATTAGTAATTGATCGCAGTTTTTTTTTTTTTTTATACCTTTCGCATGCTCCTTTACTTCCTCGTCCCACATCTGAAGAATATCTTCATTGACCTCACAATCCGCAGATGAAATCAAGGACTTCAGTTCATCCTCTGACCCTTTCAGGAAAATAGAATTCTGATATAGGAAAAGCAAAAGGGAATCCTTTGAATAAATTTCATTGCTTAAAAGAGTGATGCTATCATCTTAAATCCACCACAAGGTGGAACATGTTTCTAAAAAAAGTGAGATTTGTTTTATCATATTGAAACCAATCACAATTTTCGCCGGTGCACGACTCTGTACGTAGGGAGGGGGGGGGGGGTCGGGTGTCTGGAATGCATTAATATCGAGTGATAACGATAACGTGTAAAGATATATTTCAATAATAAAGATAGGAATCTATAGGTCATAAAGAACACGAACTAATTAGCGGATCATAGTTGGGATGGGAGTATGCTATAACCTAAAAACTGATTCAACAAGAAAACAAATCGGTTATTTTTTTTGGTTCCATCACCTGCGATATGTTCAGCACTGTGCTTAACCCGCATTTTGAATACTCCTTAATATTAATTGTTGAAAAGAACGTGGAATACTAACCCTTTTGTATCGTATACACAGCTGCTTAGCCATGGTGTTGACCTTTCGGTTGTTCCAAAAGAGAACATGCTCAGTAATTGTATCCTCACGAGCTGAAATCAATTACAATTAAAATATTGCCATCACAATTATGTACCTAAACTTTTCAAGAAATTCAATCATAAACGATAAATTCATATTAGATAATATGCACTGAGAATGCTTATAAGGATCGGAACCTGTGAACAGGTCCATGTTTTTGCATGCAAATTCGTTATGAATAATGGTAAGATTGTTTTGTCAATATTATTTTAATGATAATTATCTATGAGAGCCACAAACAAAGCTAGAAAACCGTTTGTAACATCTGCTATTTATTAACCGATTCGAAATTATAAATTTACGTTATCCAATTTACGTAACATTCACTAAGAATAGACACAAATGGTCACCTGCATAAGACATGTTTCTTGTAGTGGAGCCAAGCCTAGAGAGATATGAAAAGAACTGCTCCATGTCTTCACCAGCTCCTGCACATGCTCCTTGTTGATTACGGCCACCCCACAGAACCTAGTTAAATTCCAGTTCCACATAATATAGTACTTTAGTGAACTTTATAAAGTTTAGTATTTTGATGAAACATAATACTGATTACTAGGCATAGTTGGGGCTAACAACACTTTCTATTGACAACTAAGCTTAACCATTTAATTACTTATAAATACATTTGGAAGTTATTTCTTTAAGAATAATAAAATAATGGATAAAAAACAATTGGAAAAACAAAGATTCATTTAGATTAATAATATCATACCTAATCCATAAACTAGCTATCTTGTCTCAGGAAAATATCATATTTTGCTTACCTGACAAGACCACTGATGGGCCTTAGCGTGCATGACAGATAATGCTGGCTTCATGTTGGTCACTGCCTGCTTGAATCTATCATCCTTGCATGCTTGTTTCTTTGCCCAAGGCCAATATTTGCAGATTACATCTTGCCACAGATATTGTACCCCTAAGGGCAAAAGAAAATTTACTTGGATGTAATGCGGGTAAGCATACATTTCCCCAGTAAACATGTTAACTGCTTTCTGGGCCACTGCGTGCCTGCATCCCGCCACTTCCAGGCCGCATTCATCTAGTTTCCTCCTTCCCTTGCTTCTTGAGTTAGCTGCCCTCCAGGATGTGCTGCCACACATGTTTCCTGATGATTCCTGGTATAAGATTTAAAATAATTTGGTCTTCAAATAACTATACTCTTGGCCTTTAACATAGCTTAGTTGCCTTTGGAAGGAATTTTGTTGAAAGGGACTATTTGCAAAACATAAGGTAATTCACAATGCAAAAGAGGCCTAACCATCAACAGACATAATTATAAGCAATGATACATCAAGTTGTACCAATGATACATGAGTTATTGTGGTTGTGATTTGACTTGTTTAGAACGCCTGCATTTATATTTCCCAAATTAGAGTCATTGTAAAATACTTCATGTAATATCATTAATCAAACTCCATTAAGTTTTGTCTATAAAAAAGCGAGTATGTATAGGTTTACAAGATGCGTGCCACTGGCCCATCATGCGTCTATTCAAGTTATTCAATAACATTAACACAATGATACGGAAATCAAAATGTGACCCCCAGGATGACATATTCTACAATATTTCGGCACTTCAGAAAAGGCTCCACAATCTTCTCGGTGATTCATGAAGATAAAACTTTGATTTATAGAATAAAATACCTTCAACGGATGGTCCCTGGTGTAGACTGCATTCATGTGTTGTTTGACAGTCTCATTAGAGTCAATGAATACACCCTCATAATACGGCTTCCTTGATCCTCTGCGAACATGATATATATTTGGAATGTTCACCATTAATTGTAAATTAAAACTTAATGCACACAATTAATGACTGAAATATAACATCATTAAGTATCATATATTGTATAATAAATTCATTATCACCAAGGTTTTATTTTGTTAAAGTATACCCCCCCCCCCCCCCGGCATGAGAACATCGAATAAAGCACATTAAACATAGGTATTATAACAGCATTAGTATTCGTTCTTACCGAGGTACTTTGCTATATCTATAGACCTTGAAATTTCCGTCGACGTGGGCAGAGTGTTGTCCGTGGCTGCAAGCTGGGCAGGTCATTTGATTAGTCTCTTTTAAGCCCTTCATAGTATGCTGACAGTAACGGAACTCTGTCAATGCTCTAGAAAGCGCAGTCTTATTGATAGGCTTTCCCTTTAATGAGATAACAATATAATATTACAATTAGTACAGAAAAGCTGTAATATTCGACTGTACAATGTCTATCTGAATTTATCCTTAATTCTTAAAGATCTTTCTACTCGATGCAATAAGTCCATGACTGATATGGCCATGTTCATGTTATAATGTTAATTGATAGTTATGAAGGTTCATCATTTGAAGTGATTATATTTGATCAATAATCAACAGAGCAAAATAACGAGATTATAAATTTACAATCTGAAACAAAAATCTCCCTCACGACAGAAGATTTTGTCATTGTGTGAACCACATTGTAAGCTTTTACTTTGGTGCCACTTCCCAATAAACAAAATCACGTGAAAATCACGTCAATATAAAGGTATCGACTTGAGGAGAGTTACGTTCTTCAAACACCGGACATTTACGTAAATGTGTTAATACGTTTATTGCACTAGGTAACTTAAAACACACGTACACTAAATCACGCAATTATCACTGCAATATCACCATTATAATAACGTGATTATCCCTACCTTGGAGACCATGGTTTGTAAACATAATACTCCAGTGTTTGTTTGGTTATGAAATTACATCTTCATAAACGAAATTATCGCGTCACAGAAACACGTGAAGCGTTAGTGATAGTTTTAGTCAAAATATCTGCGTGAAATTCACGTGAATATTACGAGGCTGACTTGAGATGAATCATGTTCTTCAATCACGTGAAATGTACGTCGAAGAGGAAATATGTTACTGTAACCCGCGTTCAACCCAATAATTACGCAAATGTTACAATATAAATAAGCCAAAATAATGACGTTCTCATCCCGTTTTTGAACATCGTGTCTTGGATCTTTCATAATTACGTCCAGGCGCGCCGAAAGCAGTTTGGGATTAGAGGGGGTGAGGGGGGGGGGGTGGAGGGTGGGTGCAAACATCCCAGAAGAGAAAGCTAGTTGCAACTGGTCCAGTTGATGAACCAGTTAATACCAACTGGTAACCCTGGAAATTGAAATGGGCTCAATGATCCAGTTGATCCAGGCCAGTTAGAATTCAATTGGTCTAGCTGAGCCATTAGAACCATTTGGTAAAACTTCCAACCACTTGAATAGCAACAACACTTCAATACTGGTACGTCTGTATTTCCAATGTAAAGGCATTGGTAATAAGTAGACTTACATAATTTAATTAATCGAAATTTGTTCATGTACTTGTATTTTATTGAAATTATTTTAGTTCATAGTGAATGTTTCCCTTATTCATGTTTAACTATTATACGAAGTAGCGAAATGTCCTAATAACTGGTAATTTATATTTATAGTATTTTCGAAATGAATTGCATATAACTAAATCATCAGTAATTAAGAAATATGCTGTAAATTCAGATAAATTGTTTAAAAAACATAGATCTGCACGCACCCCATATTCAATATGCAAATTAATTGGTGTCAGCTGGTTCAACTGGAAATATGCCAACAGTCAGTCATCAACTGGTGCAACCGGAAATATGCACACTTCAGCTATCAACTGGTGCAATGAAATATGCCAACAGTCAGTTATCAACTGGTGAACATAGAAATATGCCAACAGTCACGGGATTATCACCACGTAACTTAAATGGTAACTGTGAAACCATCAAGACACCCAAGAATATCTCATTTTCACACCTGGAAAACACGGAATACCCAGCTTATATTAATAATCCGTTTGAGTCACGAGATCATCACCGCGGAACTGCTAGCAACTTTGACTACCATTTAAATAGGTGTTTTAAGACACCTAATAAATACAAATTTTTCACACCTAAATATCACGGATTCACAGCTTAGATTAGTGATCAGTTTTAACTACGTGATCATCACCGCGGAACTTATGGCAACTTTGACTACCATTTAAAAAGGTGTTTTAAGACACCTAATAATTACTAATTTTCACACCTAAATATCACGTATTCACAGCTTAGATTAGTAATCAGCTTGAGCCACGTGATCCTAACCAAGAAACTTATGGTAACTTTGAAACCATTTAAAGAGGTGTGTAAGACACCTCAGAATTACTAATTTAATATAACCAGAGATTCACGGACAGAACAATAAGACGATTAGCCGGTGTAAGTAACGTGATTATTACCATCAACCTTGGATAACCTGTGAAACCAATCGATAAAGGTGCTTACAAGACCAAATAATTACGTATGTATCACCACCATCGGTTAACGGACAAAAAACTCGTTGCTTGGTCAAGTGTTTATTTGGTCATAAACACTTGATTTACAGCGGTAAGTGGAATCACGTTACTCCAGTTGCGTGATAAATTGGTGGTTTTTAGGTTAGATGAAAACGTGAACAGGAGTACCTTTTTTGTTTAAATGAAGGCACGTGTCGATAACGTTTAAATCTAGTTCAAAAGGCACTATACTTTAAAATCACTTAAAATACACTCCCAAAAGAGGTTACTTTTTAGTGTTCTGTTTATTGGGTTGTAATAATGAAAGTATTATTTCCTGAGAAATGTCCAAAATTGCAAACAAATGAAAGCATAAAACGTGATGGTAATACTTCACTACTAACATTTATCTATATTACATTGGGATGAATTACTCAACTGTTCCATCGAAATCCTCAATGGCCTTTGCTATTGATGAAAGTGAAGATCCAGGCATGTTTTTGAGGAAGCAATCTATCCACTTTAGTAGGTCAGTGGAATATATTTGGCAAATACGGTTAGTGCTCCCCGGCCAGAACCCGTTCTCTATGATGCTTTGAATCTCCATCTCACTAGCAGCGTGGTGGCATGATTGGCAGATAACCTCACTGCGAGGGATGTGTTTACGACCTTTAAAACAAATATTTAAAAAAAAATAGTTTTCACATCTGAGTGTTAAACATGTTTTCTTGTAATCACTTTGATTAATATAACTTTTCATAACCTTTGATACCGGAGGCTTGGGCAGACCTGAATGCATGAAGCCTATACTTCAATATTTAATTCATCTTGAAAGCTTTTACAAAATGTGTACATAATCAACATAACTACATTAGTTGGTAAGACAATTGTCATTAGTGTTTTCTAATTGAATTATCCTGTTGAAAGTTCAAGTAAACTGTACATACATCAATATGTACGTAGCGAGTAATCGTCATTTATCGCACAACTGCTGCATGAGGGTTAGTGCTGCCACATTTCACGGTGATACCACATTACTTGTGAAAGCTGAGGAAAAGAAGATGTTTAAACGATTCAAATTAGACGTTATAACCATTTTGTTAAAGGTAAGGTTAAACCAAAGGGATGTCTGTATAATCCGGGGAACTGGGACTATAAGATAGATACGAATGACTAGCCTGTTCCATTTGTTATGCACGCACCTTTCATAGTTATGGCTATGTACACTGAGCTGGTTGTCCGTGTGCTGAAGCAATCCTCTCCATCACAGTTCTTACATTTCGCAGGAAGAGAGACCAGAAGTGGATTGTCTAATCATAAACAAACCAACCATAACATGTCAAATTATTTTGGTAGTAGATTTCAATTCCATGGCTTTATTATACAAAGATAATAAGAACCCCTAATATTTAGTTCAGTTGTTTATTTTAAGGCCAGGAAATGGTGTTATAACAACTTTTATTTCAAAAATTGATTACATTAAAAATAATGTAATGAAGGAACTTGTTAAGATACTTCTGGTATATTTTTAGATCCAAAAGTACTGAAATCATCAAACGAAACTGTAGGATTGCCAAATACCACAGTAGGTCTATTTCTACTTAAAAGAGATTTGGAACAGGAATGTAAGATTCATTATTATGTGTGTAGCATAAAAGTGTATTATGCTAAACATCATATTAACGAGGAATAATACAAATCCATATCCTTTTTCTCAGATTATGGTTAGTCTTGTGAATTGTATACTGGAACAAATACAAATTCAATTTCATGAATACTGAATCTAAATAATGCATAAATGAATCAATGGAATTTGAATTTGAACTGCCATCCCGAAACCTCTCCGAATCATCCCAACCATACATTGATTGCTAATGACATGTATGGTAATATAACTTGCAAATTCATTTTGAAAGTCAGAACATGTATGTATTAGAAAGTTAAAATCCTTAAGGAAAAGGTCTTCTGAATAATTATGAATCCTCCAGAATCAGTTTGAAACGCATGTCGAATCTCATACCATTTTCTCAATTCACACATGATTCTTCCCCGACGTTCTTCCTAGCTGTTGCACTTACCAATGGGAGCATTAACATAAAACCCATCTTCCCAGGACTGTCGATCGTGGAGGCAATGCTGTATGTGCTCTCTTGTGTCACAGTCCCTGCAAAGAAACCTTCTACAGTCTTTGCATTTAACCGATGCCTCGGAATCTTCACAGACATCACATCTACACTGATCTGGTATTGCTTCTAATTCAAGCATGTGATGGATGAGTGTTTCCCTGGACGACCTCCAACTTTCATCCAAGGATTCAAGCCGCTTAGTCCAAGAAGACGCCCCATCTTCTGGACTTATGCCAAATGCCTTTTGCAGCTCAGCAAGTAGACTCTCAACATCATCTATTGCAGACATAAAAAAAAAAACATTATAACAAAAATGCTACAGATTCAAGAAATAGTAACATCAGTAAGAATGATAATATGTAATTGTCAAGTTATTAATTGATCAGGTGGAGGGAAATTATCACCTGGTTCCGAGTTACGCTCAAAAGAATACACCATGATGAGATATGTGCATCTGATATATTTTACTGATTGCTTAATTAAACACTGTACAGTGCGTCCCAGAAAAAATGAAAACGAGAAATATCGATGTTTTATCATAACTTTACCACAATTATAATTAATAAATGACACATATTTGTAAAGCTTATATCACTCTCTTTCATTTGATGCAACTCATATGATGCATATTTCACGCTTGAGTGATTAAAATCAATTTGAAGTCTTTTGTCAATTCCGTTTGTTGCTATGGCAGGCAGCCAGTGAAAACGAATTCGTTTAATCAAATTATGAAAATGCAAGCATTACTTTAAATTGGTTTAATCACCCATGCGTGAAATATGCATCATATGAGTTGCATCAAACGAAAGAGGAGGACCTAGGCTTTACAAATATATGTCATTTATTAACAATTAATTATGATGAAACATCGATAATTCTCGTTTCGTTTCTTCTGGGACGCACTGTATACTTATTGCACTCCACGCATTGAGAGCATTATAGACTTGTCCCATCACTTGTTGCATTTTACGTTCTTAGACAAAGTATCCTAGTAAGTATCATTGCAACATGAACATTGGCTCAATATGATGACAACATTACTTCCTGACAGGTTTAGATTTCATGCATGATTCTCTGACAAATACTGACCAGGGAGGGTTCTATTACACTCTCCCTGTTATGACCTATTATACATGTACAGAACGTAACAAGAAATCGTATTTAAATGATAAGGTATAGCTAAGCTTTTTTCTTTTATGTAACACTGGTCTGCGTCAACTTCGCAGTTTGACCAATGTATTTCAGTGATCATCAATGACCACAGACTTTGAGCAACTTCTAAGAGTAATAGACAAACTTACTGACAAACAATGGTACCTCATGGTGCAAGACACATACCTGATTGCCCAGAAGATTCTAAAAACACTTCATCAACCTGGTGTTGATGTGGTGCGTCCTCCAATACGTGACCTGAACGAAATGAACATTTTTATGTTTGCTTCTTTATAGAGATAGATACGAAAGGTAAGACAATTATACAGGTAGTTTAAAGTAAACAAGGAGACGAAAACTGCAATCGCAAATACTTCATTTAATATATACTATCATCAAGATATGAAGGAAACGATGAGGAGCACAGAGATGAGAATAAAATCGGTTGAGAATAAAATAAAATCATACGAAGAAGAGAAGTTCCATGTTTTCAATACAAACAAACCACATGATAAAGACGTTATTTACGTCAAAAATTCGTGATGTAATATAAACTGTAGGATTTAAAACATGAATCTTCTCTTCTTCCTCAATTATTTATTGCGTCATCTTATGCTAACGCATGGACTTTTTATCGGATATAATTATATCGGATATATATACACTTCTATTTCCATCTGTCTCTCTTAGACGAGCACTCTCTCACAGTCGTGACCGAAAGAGCCAACTAATATCTTATGAATCTGAACTGACATATGAAATGCTGCAAAGGGAAATCATACATCGAGTATTTAAAGAAGATGGAACTTTAAATGTTGTCCTGACAGGACATCAATACATTCCAAAAAGTCGCCTGTACCATCCAAATACTCCACTGATTACAGAAATGGGAGTATACTGGAGTTGCTTGACATAATGAGTATCAATCATCTCCTACAATATCTCTTTATTGCTATAATGCAAACAGAAGTGATGAGGAACCGATGACTCATGCCGCATGTTACTAGAATATTAAATTGTAATGGGGAAAAGGGAAAATAATTACCATGCGGAGTTTCCCTCTGTGGTACTTGAGCCTTTGGTTCCCCTTCTAGTGGAAAAGTGAGACAGTGTTACGACGTCATTTTACAAACTGAGTCGCAAGTATGAAATTATATAACTGAGTCAATAGAAAGTTAATTTATATACTGCAATTGGAACAGGTAAGACACCATAAGATATGTATGAAACGAAACACATCACCTGCACTTGACATTCATAACGGCAGGTGCAGGGATGATTTTGATTCGTTTCTTTGAGCATGTGAATTCATGGCTCTAAACATAAATAAAATAATAACTACTTACTTCTTTTGGGGGCTTTTCTCTGTCTCTCCTTCGACCTTCTTTTGATAAGCCCAGTTTCAGGATCTGGTCTATTAAAGACCCACACTGTATCCTTTTTGCGTTTTGGCTTGGGTTGGAGTCCTAGGTCTTGAGCAAGTCTCTGGCCTGCCGCTTTAAATTTTGCATCCCAGTCTTCTGAGGTCAGATTACCTTGTTTCTTCCCCCTCTTTCCTACATAGAATTGTTAAGGAATATCACAGAGAGTGTGTAATAAAAGAACAATTCAATTTACATAAATATGCTGCAGTTTTTTATTTCTAAAAGGTACTATGTCTCATTTGCAGGTCAAAAAACATGAACAGGTTAAATTCCAACGGCATTTGAAAGACCTTGCTTTTTAGAACTTTCCTCAAAACGAATGACTTTGAAAATGGCTTTCTGTGGGAAAATAACGACCATTAGTTGTCGAATCGACATAAGTGATTGCAATTACCTAAGAAATAGTCTGATTTTCAGACCCTTGTACCGAATGGACCTACTTTTGTGCTGCACAAAGATTCAATCAGTTTAATTTTGGCCATTAGAAGAATCGGGTTATTGATGAAGACAAATGCTAATGTACCCTTTACAGCTCATTATTACCAAAGAAAAAAAGACGTCAGTTAGTCCTTCAATAGTGTCCGACAAGGAGGTCTAGATAGTGAACGGGTTTCCTTACATAATATGAATACTAGGAAACTGCTAACGTTTAAATTTCACAGATAGAAAATACATTACATATTCAGAATTCCTGCAGAGTTCTACATAATTTCATGTTGGCTGCAAAAGGAACATAGTATCTTTAAGGTAACGAAAGATATTCTTCAAGAAATAACTACAAACATCATAGGCTAACAGATCTGTCAAATACGATTTGTCATCAAATAGCTTGTTCTTAAAAGACATAATTATAATTATAATAATAATATCAATAAAAATATTAATAACAATATGATGATAATAATAATAATAATAATAATAATAATCATAATAATAATAATAATAATAACAATAATAATGTATATCATAATTATGATGATAATAATAATACAAATAATATTAGTAACATTAATAAAAATAGTGATGATGATGATGATGACAATGATGATGAAGATGACCATATAGTAATGACAATATGATAATAGTTATTATCAATTTAATAGTTATTATCAATAGTTATAATAGTTATCATCAATAGTTATTATAATAGTTATTATAATAGTTATGATCAATAGTTATTATAACAGTTCTTATCAATAGTTATTATAATAGTTATTATCAATAGTTAGTATAATAGTTATTATCAATATATGAAAACTAAATGATAAATAACTATTTCAAATGGAAAATGTCATGCACGCTGTACCTGCAGACATGCTGAAATAAGTGAAAAGTCACTTCTATAAATTATCCCTCAGTGATGACGTCACTCGGTCAATCCAACTGAAAACATTGAAAGGAAATATATAAATGAATTGCGCATGCTTGCATAGAGCATACATTTCGATGCCACATTTTCAATCAATTCTTGGGTCAATTCTGCAGTACGAATTCAAAGAAATTCATATTTCAATAACATATGGTAAAATGGAAAATAACTGTAAAATATTCAAACGTGAACTATAACAATGAAGATATGAAATACATATCACAACCACAAATTTGATACAATTTTCTCATATATATTTGAAAATATGTATCTAGTATACGTATGTACATTGTACATACACATTTCAGTATGTTGAGCTTAACCCATCTACAAAGAAATTATCAAAAGCACTTACTATACTACAATATTTGCAATCTTCAACAAAGAAAAATCCCTGAAATATATAGCTTACATGCGGTAAAATATTATCATGATTATTGTACATGTCACCTCTGAAATGCGGGTCGATGTACTTACCGGTCATGCCTTGGAGTAGAAACGCATCAGAGAAGTCCTATTTAGTCTGGTGAACACAATAACTCATCATTGTATTATTGCACAAGAAATAAATACCAAATATGCTAACATCTAACGATCACAATTAGTCAATAATGTTATGTTAAAAGTATACTATTCGTCATCGCTACCTCAGTGCAGTGGTAAGGATTCGTTGTCAACATTCAGGCGTCCAGAGTGCATACTACACGGGTATCTCATGTACATCGAATTGGCTACATAGTAGTGCGGTTTCTCCAAGAAATTTTCCAGTGCCGAAATTCCAAACAGAAGATTAGGCTCACGATAGTCTGAGTGTCCTAAACTTTCTTTGTTTCAGAAATGTCTTGCTCTAGCCAAAGTATCTATTTGCTCTAGCCAGGGAGGTGTCACAACTTCCTGCTCTAGCCCATATACTGACTGTAATTGATAATGTTAATCTGTGAGCAAGATCAATTAATATTGTTAATGGCTACTTATAGTGCTTTATAAAACCCGAGTCCTTCTCACACCCCTTACCAAAAAACACAAGCATTTTTTCGGAGGGGAGGGGGCCACTGATTGAAAAGTTGATCATCACGTACTATATGAATTCACTTGTAAAAAGGGGCTCTTGAATTAAATGACATAGCCGTAGAGACTATCATTTTTACATTTCAGGTGTCAAAATAGATCAAAATTACAATAGAAGAGTATATTATGTGAAATAATATGGAGAAAATTCGGTAAGGATATAGCCATAGGCCTATTTTAAGGTTCATCCGGCACTCAAGTTTTTGGGGGGCGAAAAAATACTTCAATTTATTTGCTTAATTACCCCTCACAACGAAACTTGGTTAGGCCTAGCTGGGCCTAGCTATAATCAATTGCGATCAAATTACATAGTAGGTCCATGGTATTTAAAGGAATTAAGGTGAATATATGGAGATCGAGGGGAAGGGGAAATGAAAGGGGGAAGAGAAACAGAGACAGACCTCGAAAGAGAGAGAGACTAGATAGAGAGAAGAGAGAGAGGAGGTGGGGGGGGGGAGCAAGCGCATAGCTAGGATTTTATTTCAAAGGGGGCAAATCACTTGGAGCGCGCGAATTGGAGGGCGCGAATCGCGCTCCCTAGGGGGTTGGTGCTAGGTAGGGGGCGTTTTTTAAGGGGGTGACCGCGCCCATCGCCCCCCCCCCCCCCACCCTGGCTACGCGCCTGAGAGAGAGAGAGAGAGAGCGAGAGAGGAAGGGAGAGAGAAAGAAAGAAATAGAGAAAGAGAGGGCTATTATTACCTTTTCTATAATAACCGTCTATGTCTTTTAGATTGCAAAAGCTAGACATACACAATATTTATTCGGGTTATCAGTAATAATCAAAATCTTAATGAGAATATAATAAGAATATTATGAATGATGATGGAGATCATGCTGATGAAAATGATGATGATATGGTAATAATGATAATGATAATTGTTATTTTCAATTACCATTACTATTTGTTTTATTATTTGTATTATTACTTTTGTTTTTGTTACTATCATTATTATCATTAAGATTATCATTATTATTGTTTTTATTATGGATATAATTATTACTGTTATTATTGTTACAATAATTGCAATTATAATATTTATCTTTAATATTAATATCATTATTACTACTACTAATTCTTCAAATGCTATTATAATTGTTGATATTGTTGTTGTATCTATCATGAATTACATTATCATTACTGTTTTCATTAAGGTAAGTAATCTAATACCCCCTCCCCCATCCCCATCCACCCCTGTCAAAATATGGGACCATAGATTTAAGAAAACAAAAAGTACTGCGATCCTGGACAAAGACTAGCTAAGCCATTCCGAGTGTCCGAGTTGGTCCTTGGGCGTCCTATATAGCCGATAAGCCTTTTGCTCGCCAGCCACTGAATTCTTCATCATTAAATAAAAGTTTAGCTTTTAAAAATCCAATTTATCCAAATCTATATATCAAAAAAAGTAAATCTAATTTTAAAGGAATAAAAATCCTGAGAGAAGAGGCGTAAATATTCACTTCTGAATGAAAAACGCCTATAAATTAAAACAACAACAACAACAACAGAGTTTGGGGTGGGGTACGATCACACCTGACACGCGCGAGCGGCTGCTGCACCCGCGCATGCCAAAGTGTACATCCCCGCGGACAACCACTCACACACAAACGTACATACATGCCCCATAAGCGGTAACCATCCCAATCCTAGTACCTATTTCATCACACTACCGCAAGATGGCAGCAAATAAATGGTCGCCCCAATAGCCCCTTAGAATGAAATAAATAGTCATTTTAAGGCGAAAGATACAATGCGTGTATATGTCATTATAGCTTCGAGACCAGGTTGGTTTATCCCAGATCCAGCCATTCCATGTACTCATTTGTGTTTTTGCTATCGGATCGCTTCACACCAAACATCAATAAAGCTAGATATCGTTCCTTTGTTTCTTTTTATATCAGCACGTTATATTCCCTTTGATATATTCATTGTGATAATAATAAAATTGGTGAAAATGAACTACTTTGCTTCGGTCAATTAGAAGATATCTAAAAAAATCATATTTGTAGTCATCTCTTGATTTATAATTAAAAAACCTGATCGAATGACAAGGTATTGTGTATGGGGGTCGTAGGCAAGAGAGTGTGTATGGTTCGTATGTGGGTGCTACGTGTGTGTCCCCCTCTCTTCTCTCTCTCTCTCTCTTTCTCTCTCACTCTCTTACCGTATGAACTTAAAGTGACTCGGTAACATTGTTGACGGTTGATGAAAAAACTGCGCTATTATTGTATGAAATGTTACTTTTTTATATTCCTTCTACCGTACTTACCTCTAATATGCAAGAAAAGCCTAAAAAGCCTCCCAACTTTGACTTTTTTAAACTGTTTTCCATGAAAAAAAACAGGCTTTTTAAAATCTTCCAACACTTAAATGTTTCGAATTGTATATAGGGCGAATTCACTGCTTTTTGACGATGCACATTCACCTTAACATTTAAATGAATTAAAATAATGTAGAAGGGAGAATTCTGAAATCGATCAGATCAGTTTTCCCCAATTTGTATCATTAATAATGGTCTGTTTTCACTTAAACTTCCAGATTATCTTTACATTTACATCTAGCACTGAAGTCACTACCTAAGAACCATTTTCTCTCATCTGAACAATATTACCAAGTCCCTTTAAGTACACTGAGGAGCATAATTTTAGTGTGCCACGCCCTCGTTCATACCATTTCGTTAACCAGAGGTTGGTTTTCCTCCTGACAGGTGACATTTCCTTGTTCCCATTGGTTGGTTCAATGTTTGGTGGAACTCAGGTTCTCATCAACGGACCGTGCTTTAATTCAACCAACCTGATTATCTGTGATTTCGACGGATTCGAGACTTCTGGAAGACTTTTGGAAGACGAGGTCGCCCTTTGCGTTTCGCCGACTTTCTACAAAGTTGGACAGATTACCCTGCGCGTATCTCTAGACGACGGACTCACGTTTGATTTCACAGGATTGTTCACAATTAGTAAGTTCATATGAATAGCATATTTTGTGTAAAGCTATAACATGTTCACATTAAAGGTAATACAAAGTTTTGGGAAAATTTGAAAATTGGGTGGATAGTGATTCTTTACAATTTTGATATATTTGGATGCCCCTGTGGATGTATTGTATAAAAAAAAATTAGCCCCTGAAACACTTCTGTTTTCGAGAAAAAATTAATATAAAAATGTACCGGTGCTCCCGGTAATTTTTGATAAATTTCAAATAGCGCCAATGACCGTACAATCGTAGCTGCGACCATGAAAATCTCAGAATATGTAGTTGGGATATATAATTTTCTAACGGGAATAGCTAATCGGTCGATTTCAGTCAAGAAACATTGTTTCATAGCTAAATTGATATCTTGACCTTGAGTGGGAGCTATACAACATAAAGAGTTTATTATTTATAATTTCATAACTTTAAACTCGAATTCAACCGCGACAACGATCAATGTATACTGTAGGAACGCATATGCTTCTAATATGTTAATTTGAACCAAATTCATGACCCCATACCAAAACTTTGCAATACCTTTAAGCTGTCATCACTCATCAGGTCAGAATTGTTGGCTTATGCTATAGCTATGCATTACAAGAAATCTTGCCGAAATTCTTAAAAATGATAGTTCATGAAGAAATAAATGATACGTTCATGATGTTCTAAATCTTATTCCAACCAATAAACAACTGTTCATGGCTATTAATTTTGCTTGCTTCTTCATTTGTTGGCATCGGTTCTAGGACACCTACCCCTGGACATACACCCCATGATAACCAACCCCAGTAAACAACCCCCTAGGATGACTGCCCCCGGGACAAATACCCCTGGACAACTACCCTCAGACAACCACCTCTAGGACAAATACTCCCGGACATCTACCCAGGGACGACAACCCCCTAGGGCGACTACCCCCGGGACAACTACCCCTTAATAGACAACTACCCCTAGGACAAATACTCCAGGACAATTACGCCCTAGGACAACTACCCTCCGGGCAACTATTCCCGGACATCTACCCCAGACTGGGGTAGTTGTCCCGGTGCGGTAGTCGTCCTAGAGGGCTGTTGCCCTAGGATAAGTTGTCCTAGGAGAAAGTTGTCACAGGGGGTAGGTGTTCGGATACGGTTGACAGCATCTTTCTCGAATAATGCCTAAATATTCATATTCAAGGGCTAAAACATAAACATATAACTTCAGTGCTTTAAAGTGCTTTGATAGGAGGTTGAGACTAGAGAGTGACTTGAGCATAAGTCTGAAAGATTAAATAGATTGCCGCGTTATCATGTTTTCGTACCTTGATATCATTCACAACATTGCCGTATGTACAAGTTCGTCAACATACCATTGAAACGAGGGTTGATTGCAAATATAGACGTTTCAAAGAATTGCCGACGAACTTGTTTTTACGAATATATCGTGAAACGATGCCTAGAATATCTATACAATGACCTTTTCCCCCTACAGTCAGTGTCGAGGACGTTCCTGATGGTGTATTTTCCTCAGTAACGGAAAGCAACCAAAAAGAATCCGACTTCGAGATCACGTGGAACACAGATGCCCTCGAAAGCGTGGACGAAGTTGACGTCGTTGTCTACGGCTACCGAGAGGACGATTACGTGGAGTTTAGTGGACCGTTGGTCATAGTCGCACAGGGAGTTGACTATCATGTCGGTTACCACAGCGTTTCAGGGTTACTAGACACTGAAATACACTTCGACGTCGGTGTTATTGGCGTCATTGAATCTAATGGTCAAGGGGAGAAGTAAGAATTAAACCCAATTTGATATCTTTTCCTTAAATTCCAGTTTGAGTTTATCTATCATTCTTGATGATTCAAATAACGGGCATTGATTATATTCAACGTCGGCACTATTTATCTATCTTTAGACGATTATTTTGACTTTAAAATTATTTTTGAACTGATTCATTGATTAAAAAACATACATTCTAAGTAGCAACCGACGGCTGAAACAAAAATTGAATATCAAAGTATTGAAAATTACATTAAAGGTAATACAAATTGTTGAGAAATTTTGGCTGGATAGTGATTCTTTACAATTTCAATATATTTGGATAAGCATATTGAAATCATATGCGATCCTTCAATATTCATTGATCGTTGTCGCGGTTGGAATCCCGTCTAAAAAGATGACATTATAAATAATTAAAGGTAATACAAATTTTGGGGAAATTCTAAAAAAAAATGGGTGGATAGTGATTCGTTACACTTATGATATAATTGGATGCCCCTGTTGATGTATTATGAGCACTAGAAAATTTAGCCCCTAAAACACTTCTGCTTTTGAAAAAAAATGAATATCAAACTTTACCGGTGCTTCCAGTAAATTGTACGGCCGTAGGCGCTACTTTAAATTTGACAAAATCTCCCGGGAGCACCGGTAAATTTTTATATTGAATTTATCTCGAAAGCAGAAGAGTTTTAGGGGCTAAATTTTCCAGTGTTTTA